AATATATTTTGTATATTTTATTTTTTTTGGGGAGTTATGGAAAAAATATTTTGAGAGATATGTGGAGGAATACAAATTTGCGGAAAATAATTGCGCAAGAATATTGTGGTTGGTTTTTAAGCGAGGTAGAATGTTTTGTTTGTGTATTTATATTTAATTAATTAAATATTATTTATTTATTAAAAATATAAGAGATATTGTGTATTAGTGTATTACTATTTTTTCATTAAAAATATGCCAAAGTAAGAGTTTTAAGTCGTTCATTTTTACCTCGTATTTGTATTTAATTAATAAGTAACTAAATATTAAATAAATTAAAAATATGAGATATGATGGGTATTAAAGTATTACTATGTTTTCACTAAAAATATATCAAAGTAAAAATACTTTAGGTAGTTCCTTTTTTTTTTATACAAAAACAATCATCTTTTAGAGTAGTGTTTTGGGGAGATATGGAAAAAAACAGTTTGACATATATGTGGAAGAAAGCAAATTCATCATGAGGAATAATGGAAAAATAATGTGGTTGATTTTTAGGTGTGAAAATGTTTTTGTTTGTGTATTTGTATTAAAATAATTAATTGTTAGTTATTAATTAAAAATATAAGGTAAGATGAATATTAATGTCTTACTAATTGGCCATTAAAAATATATCAAAGTAAAGGTAGTGGTTGATTTTTATGAGATGAAGAATGCTTTGTTTGTGTATTTGTATTAAATTAATTAAAATATGAGATATGATGGGTATTAGTGTATGATTAATTTGCCATAAATAATGTCAAAATAAGAGTTTTTTAAGTAATTCATTTTTTACATTGTACTTTTATTTGATTAATTAAATAATAGTTATGAATCAAAAATATGAAATATGATGAGTATTAGTGTATTACTAATTTCCCTTAAATATATATCAATGTAAGAGTATTTTGGATAATTCATTTTTTTTACACTAAAATACTATTCATATATTCTGGAGTAAAAACACTAATCATTCTAGGGTAGTATAGATAAATATTTATCACTCTCTCAGCTGATAGTACGTACGTCCTGTTTTCATGAGTTTCCCATGACCTCTTTTTGCTCTTTTATACAAATATACTCTTTTTCTTTCTGTTTTTGCCATTCACTTTTACTCTTGGCATGCAATTGTTCTTCAGCCATTTCCAAGGATAAGAATGATGGATTTCGAATGGTCCTACGACGAGCATGAGAGGATGATCAACGGGATAAGGCTTGTGCGTGAAGCTGAACCCGGGCCGGAAGAAAGTGGTATGAATCTTTTGCTCTCTCGCACGCACATTCATGAAATAATAATATATGTACATAGTCTCTAGTTTTCTTGTTGTGTTATTTATGTTTGCTGTTATCATGTGGATTTTTTGAATGTTTTAAATGTTTATTTCCCTTATTATTATTTTTTTTCTGTTGCATGAAGATATGATATAGTCTATGTGATTATGTTGTTTTCTATTTAAATATGCAAATTAGTAATATAGATATTGGGCCTTAAGGAGAACAATAAGAAGATATATTATTGAGAAAAAAATAAATATACACAAGTCAAACTAAGTCGGACTATATCATGCAATTTAGGTATGAAAAAACAATTTATTTTTTTTTTAAAAATTATTTAGGTATGGAAAATCATTTTTCTTTTGTTGCATTAATTCTGAAACCAAAATGAAATACTTAGTGTCACAACAAAACTAAAGTTTGGGTTTTTAGAAAAAAAAAAAAGAAAAAAAA